GTACAAAATTCATATAAGTGGGAGAGTATTCTCGCGCAAAGAAAACGATGTAGTGCATTTTGATTCGTTTTCAGTGCATGTTTTTTTCTTATGCGGGACATKATCTTAATATTGATTTTTTTTCCGAATTTAATTTTATCTTCCACATTCATTAAAATTGGGCTYCCTGTGACTTGCGTGAGCTTGCAATGATAGAGACCTTTTTTAAACACCTTGGACAATTATTCGCATGTCTCTATCATTGCAAGCTCACCGTTCGTCTCRCTTCGAAGCAAAGGCACGGCTACCTTTCAAGATGGCGCAGGGAACTGTGAAGGGGACTATTCTGCATTTGGGTATCTTAATTACGTTCATTAAATTTTGTCAGAGTTTTTTAAGACCAGACTCGTACCCAGTCGCCTGTCTTGTCTTATTGTTCTCACGCTGTGGTTGGTGGGAAGGATTTGGTCAGTTCGCGGCGCATCAAGGGAACGAAGGAAGAGAAAAGCGAAGCGTCACTTTTTCTCTCTCCTTCCCAAAAGCCACCGCGCRCATTGGGCCACTGTTTTCATAGTCTGTTTTAAGACTAAAAAAGATTCTTAAAAGTATGCTTAAAAATACTTAAAAGTATACTTTTATTTAAAGAAAGTTGTTATGTTGTTACTTCAGTGTCATCTTCTTGATCCTCACACACTACAAGGAATGGACATATACTCGTATCTGTTGGCTCAAGATAACAGCAGTAAAGAACTGGAAAAGTAAGTCCTAGTTTAATAAAGACAATAATAACCCGTCTTCTGTAGAAAACTAAATCTAACTACAGTGGATCAATTCTTTGGAATAACTTTTCCATCCTTCTAAATCTTACTCGTGCTTAAGATCCTTTCCCTTCTATCGCATCCAGAATCGCACGTGTGAACGGGCCTTTAGGGGTCTATTTTACCCAAAAAGCTAGACCACAATTTAATGTCTTTGTTTGGATGACAGAAAAGCCCCTAGTAATTACACAGTTCTGTTCATGAAGTTTCTGCACAAATTAAATTTGACAGAACGTTTGTGCCAAAAATGTGCATGCCCCCCTTCGCGACTACTCTAGCGTGCACTACCACTACTTCKGCCTAAAATAACATGCTGGTGTTTTTCATCGATTCTTGTTAGGTTGGCCAAAGATCTCATACAGGTGACTCAACTGAAGGCTGAACCATGGATAGCTATGGCACATTTCTGTGATCTAACCAATCGCAAGCCAAGAGCTGTTTACTTTGCACAAAAGGTAATAACTCAAAGGGAATTGGAATTTTAAGAAATTAGATATCAGGAGGGGATTTGGACCCCTTATGCGCGCTTCCTCATTTTCGCAGACTTTGCAATTTTTTTACCATAAAAATATGCATTATCTGAAAAATACATAAACGCAGTTAGAGTTGTCTGTTTTGGAACACAAAATAACCTTGTTGGGTTGAAAGAGATATTTTACCGCACCTAATATAAAACATTCCTGCAGGATCATAATTTTCGGTGTGTCGCTAATGAATACATAGAGAATACTTCATGGAAAGTGCGCGCGTACGGTTTTTATCATGAGTTGTGCAGTATCAAAAAAACGAACGAGCGAGTCTTCGAGCGAGTGAGTTTTTTGATACGAAACAACGAGTGCATTAAAACTGTACAAAGCACKTTCCGTGCTGTATTCTGTTTGATATATACATACTGAGAAAATTGATAGCGAGTCTTCGAGCGGTTTTTCCTTTAATATTTGTAGACTTTCTACATAATCCTCTACAGTGTCATTGGGAGTAACAACTCTATTTTCTTCTATTTTTTATGCCTTTGCTTACTTTTTACAGTAAAAAAAGGACCTATGTTAGTAAAATAACAACAACAACAGTACTGACAAGATTTGCTGCTTCGCTCAATGACAAAGCTACCAAGTCTATGGAAACCATTCAACGGTGCAGTGCAAAAATATCGTTCGTCCAATCAGATCGGCGAACGACTTTTTTCCACGGTGAAAAAAAGTCGTTCGTCTCTCTGATTGGCTGAGACCAGTGAATGAACAAAAAATTAACTGAATAGATTTTCAGTGAGTATTTCTCAGTATGTATAATAAATTAGAATACTATACTATGAAGATATAAGGTCCAAGTGATGTCTAAATTTCTTTATAACTATCCGGATGTTTGAGTTTTCAATGGCTTCTTGGCAGACGTAATGCCCTTTTCTRATTGGCTAAAACACTTTGGTGGGCAAAACAAATCCACTTCGCACAAACTCGCGAAAGTACGGTCAGAGTTTGTAGTGAAAGATTTTATGCTAAGTTTTTGAAAGATGCAAAAAAATAAAAGCTCSAAAGATATTTGATATACCATAATAAGGGAATGCCTGTCAAATGAAAAAATCTGCAATACGCTGAAGTCATTTACGATGGCAGAAATCGTAGCATATTTCATCGAAGTGATAGTGGCAGACAAGCAGCCAGCGAAAGATCCTTGAGGGAGTCGTATAACCAGTATTTTAAAGGTGGGCATGTACACCGCCACCCGGTTAGCTCAGTTGGTAAGAGCGTCAGTCTGTTGTGCGGGAGGTCGTGGTTCAAGCCTCGGCCGGACCAACACTCAGGGTCTTAAAATAACTGAGCAGAAGGTGCTGCCTTTGTAAATATATCTGCAAATGGTTAGACATTCAAGTCTTCTCGGACAAGGACTTAAAACCGTAGACACTTCCTAACCTACAGTAAATGGGGGACATAAAAGAACCTGTTGAATTATTCGTGTAAGAGTAGGGGATTGTCTCCCGGTTCAACAGTTCAACGGTTCAATCCCAATTTGGAGGCATAAAACGTACTAACAAATCACTCATGATTATGACAGAAATGCGTAAAGATCACTTGTTAGACTGAAAGAGAACACTGCTGACATCCAGTTCGCCTAGTGCGATTGTCTTGCAGGAAAGCGACCGACGACAACTTGCAAACATATTGCCGCTCTGTGCTATGCTTTGGAGGACTTTGGCCCAAAAWTTCTGGCCAATAAAGAATGTTTATCCTGCACCGATAAACTGATGCAATAGAATCAACCCCGCAAACAAAGGTTAGAGCCTAAACGCATAAGCAAACTTGATTTCTCTCTTGAACACCATGGTGCCGAGAAGAAGAAGACTACATTAGTTGGTAGAGATCCATTAGAACTAGTCGGTAAAGCTACTCAGTCCGATAATGAAGCAGTTAATGCGTTTGTGTCTAAACTTCAGACATTCGGCGCTCGAAATCCAGAAAAGAAACCTGTTTTTCTGTCTGTTATAAACACAACACACAGTATCAATAGATCTGCTACTGCTACTTTACCCTCGGCATCTTCATCTACAACAACAGATCCCAATCTCTCTGACCTTGGGGCAACTTCTAACTGCACTGCCGTGGAACCAGAGATTGTTGTAAAAAGGAGATTATTGTTCAAACAAAACTTAAATTTAAATGAGCAAGAAAGAAATGATTGTGAATTATGGTACAAAGCAAGAGCACAAGGACCACTGGCTCTTTGTGTGGAAGAATTATAAATCGTAACAAAAATATATTCCCATCATCTATTTTAAAGTCCCTGATATCTTCATTGAAAGGGCTGGTTTTCTAGTTGATAAGGAGAAAAGCTGGCCTAGGGGCCTCCCCTGATGCAGTGGTAGTAGATAGTGAGGGGGCAAGCATAGGTTGTGTTAAGATTAAAGCATCTGCTGTTAATTGGGAATCATCAATTGAGGATATAATTATTACAAAAAAAGGCAATTTCTGTCTTTGCAAAGCTGATAGCAGTGATCAGATTGTACTGAAGTCCAACCATGTGTAATACCACCAATGCCAGCTTCAACTATATGTCGGAAGAGACAAATTTAGGTGGTGTGACGTTTTTCTTGCAACAAAGGATGACCTTTTTACTCAAAAGATCATGCTGGACATGAACTGGGTGAACAACAATGTACCTGAATTAGAAAATGTTTATGACTCATTCCTAATCAAGAGACTAGTTGTGTAATCTAAGAGTTTTCAATTCTATCATATAAAATCCAGATACAGATTGTTGTAAGCAAAGATTCTTTTTGACAACCATTTTATGTATATTTTTATGAAAAAGTCACTATTGTTATCTGTGTACTACTGCATATGCCAGATTATAAGTTAAATGTAAAAAAACCAYGCTGTTTATTTAGATACAAGCTGATTACGAAAGTTGGTAAGCATTGCACAAACAAAGAATATCTCATTGAGATAAGGAAGTAATTGCCAGTGTAACTAAAATATGGCTTAAAATCTTGTACTCTTTTATCTGCCCAATGGCTCTCTCTACATGGATTCTGGTATTAGCAATTCGTCTGCCTAAAGCTACCTCATGTGGTTCAAACTGCTCTTTTCCATTGGTAAAGGGTGGAACATTTACATGGATGCTGTATGGCTTTGAAATATCCTTAATTGAGAACCCTCTGTCTTCTAAAGTGACGTCACCAGGGTCCATTAGTTCTAGCATTCCAGACCTTTGGGTAATTTCTTTGTCTGAAATATTGCCCCCATAGAGGTCAGAGACAAAGGAAATTGCTCCTGCTGGGGATATTCCCACTAGTGCTTTAGCTCTGTTACAATTCTTATAACTGGATAATGCTAATTGTTGATTGACTGGACTTTTTGGTTTGGGAATTTTGATCGCCAATGATTACCCTCAAAGAGGGATATTTCAGGGCAACAGACATTGGCATGGAGTTGATTACCTGATCTTTGGATGGCCAAATATTCAGCAGCTTCAAGCGTTTATACATTGCTGGTATCCAGCGAAGGAAAATTCTTGAAACAGTTTTACTATCGATATGGAAGATGTATGCTAAAAGCTGCTCAGACAGGCCCAGTCTTAGTCGAATTGAGACTAGAAGAAATTGGTCTTGAAGACACAATGCACCTTGAACGWGTGACGACAACTGACCTTTGCAAACCAAATCAAAACAATAATCGAACAGTTAAGAACTGTTGAAACCAGTAAAAAACCTAAGCTTCGAAGCGTTCTTTTTCACGTTCAAGGCATTCACATTTCGCTCTGTCGAAGATTCGATTATTGTTTTGARTTCAGCAGTTCCGCATCAAAATTCACTTGGCATTCCTTATCTGATGGCGCGACTTCCTCACAGATTTCCGCTAACATCACGAGAGCCGAACAAGCTTGATATGAACTTATTRCCTCACTTGTCACTGACTCAGCTAATTCTGCTAAAAGCAAAAGATTTACATCGTCGTCTCTTTTTAAATACGTCCGCCTGACTGGAGTCGTGTAGCTGTGTAGTCAACCCACATCCCGTATGCGTCGAAGCTGACTCATCTCTACACGACTCCACAATTTCTTGCCCTTGAACTCGCTTTTCAGGTCTAGCTTTTACTTTCTTCGTCCATGCGAAAACAAAGGGAACTTCGTATTTTCCTTTCTGTTCACCTCCTTCAAAGTGGTCGCTGCATATTCGAGTGTGAACATTAACCGGAATGCTTTCACATCTAATACAGGCAAGCCAAGTTTTAAGCAGTTTTTTATTCTTCAATGGGAGCCTAAATAATTTAACATTTGACCCTTTCTTTTGGCGATTTGTACAAAAAGGAACTGCACAACTAGAAACCATAGCTTAAGGACCCCAATGCTACGATATAGCGAAGTTAAAAAAAACTCTGRCAGTACTTTCCCGAGTTTGTGCAAAGTGGATTTGTTTTGCCARCCAAAGTGTTTTAGCCAATCAATGAGGAAATTACCTGCCAAGAGGCCATTGTTTGAYTGAAAAATGAAATAGAAAATATTTTTTGTTTAAAAAATTAAACAAATCTGAGACACCGGTTTTAGGTCGAGTGATAATTTAACGTTATCCAAAGTTTAAGGTGGCTCGACCCCCTCACGCTTGACCGCTACCTTCCACTTTTGGAACGCTAGTGCATAAACGTGTCTTATCCTATTGCAAATCTTTTTTGCACATAAGTCACATAAAGATTGAATTAATATTTGATGCAGTTTTTAATGAGATCGGACGTCATAACACGTAATTATGATGAAATATCATAAATCGGAA